ACCGATGTCACCAGGGAATTGGGAGTTGAGGCGAACAACGAGGTCAGCGAGCTCTTTGCCGTCGTTGGAGGGTGGACCGCCGTCCGCGAACTTGTCGCCCTCAGACTCCGCTGCCTTGACAAGCTCTTCACTGGCAGATGATAGCGCGTCCTTGTCCGTGTTCATGAGCTTTGTAAAGGCAGATTGCAGAGCTTTTTTGTTCTCCTGCATATCCTCTTCCTTGTCCGATGTCTGCTTGCCACTGATGGTGTCTTCAAACTTCTTTGCCTCTTCTTCGCCTACTAAATTTCGCAATGAAGGAACGGTCTTGAGGAAATGGGCGATTTCGGCGAGGGGTCGGAAGCCGCAGAGGCCGTCGAAGGGGGTGACCGCAATGGTCATTTCGGGCTTGTGGTTGTCATCTAGTGAGGTCAGTATTTCTGTTGGAAATTTCCGTAATTATGCTGACCTGGGTAGTTCTTAGGGTCGCTTGCATGCAACTGTTCGGCAAGCTTCTTGTTCGGGTGTGCCTGGATGCTCAGGGCCTTGTTGATGGAGAGGACCTTGAACAGGAAGGGAAGCTTGTTCTCATAGCGCTCGGCAATATCTGTTGATAACAGGGCTTGGTTCTCTTCGAAGAGGTCGAGAAGCGTTCGCTGGGTTTCCTTGTCTTTGGAAGGGAGCGACGGGTGTGTGCCCATCCATAGCTAACCGTGTCAACGACGCGTCAATCGCAAGCTGGAATTTCATACCTCGGCATATGGCTTCTCCTCTTCAATCGAGAAGTCTGAAGCGTTTGCAGCGTGGAACTTGGCGGCTGCAGACTCTTTGCCGACTTTGCCTGGGTTGGTTCAGCATACTGCTGGGGCGAAGGTGAGTGATGACGCGGGGCACGCACCCCAGTCGTAGCTGTTCACACCTGGAAATAGTTAGACAATGCTGGCTCAAATCAATTTCACCATCTTGACCTACCGCATTCTAGTCTGATAAGAGGGTTCCGCATCTTGAATATGGGTTCGGTCGAGTGTGGAGGTTGCGTATGTATTGCGATGCCGCGAATTGGCGGAGGAGCTCTGGGCGGGGTCCACTTGTTTGGTCCCGCACAATCGTCACCCTGCCGTTGGTTTAGGCTCGTCCCCTCTCCCATGACTAGCGTACCCTACCCTGCATCCCGCCGACTACATGCCCCGACGTTGATCATCTGCAGCTACTTCCCTTCCTCCACCTCAGTCTGTCGCTTCCACACCACCACATGAACTACCTGCAGCGCCTTAGGTAACACGAAAAGAGCTGGGGAGTTGACGGGCCACAACTTCCTCAACATGGCAGCCCGCAGCAGGCCCCGTGGTCAGTTGAAGGAGGAGTTCGACGAGGAAAGAGCCCTCTGGAACTCGATCAAAGCTGACGGACGTCGCGTTGATCAACTCATGGTACGAATATACTTTCTCCATTAACACCAGCATTACGATCTGCATCTCTATATCTATCGCCAGCATCCCTTACCATGAGCGAAATACCGCGTGATCTTCGCGATTCTGACGGCTACTTGGGCCATAGACGAAATGACTATGGACGTGGAACTCAAGAAGAGCGAGACCTCTGGAAACAGATCAAGACAGATGCCAGACGCGTCGACAAATGCATGGTATTACACAGACCGTGCCTTGTCGCATGCATCATTTCAATCATCTACACATGAATCCGCTCCCTTACTGACATGCCGCAGAAAGAGTCGGATGCCTTGCAAGAGAAAATCACCGCCCTCGTCGCAGAACAGTCTGCTCGTCAGCGTTCGTTGCCCAACTGACTACTACATATTCGTCCCACTGTGCTAACCCGGCTAGACCGCGGCGAGGAAACCTCAGCCCGTATTGATGACGAGCTTGAAGACCTTCTGCGCGAAAACATACGTAATCTAAACGAGGCACAGACCCTTCTCCAGCAGGTCGAAGGCGGCAACGATGTCTCCACTCAGATAGAACTCCTGGCTGCCCTCCGTCAGTCGGAAGAGGCCCCGCCCTCAGCATCACGAGCCACCAGCGTTGGGCACGGAAAGTCTGGACGCGACCGCCAAGGCAAGCGAAAGCATAACGACAACATCGACGACCGCGACAGCATGGCTGCGGACAGTCCTGGAGGTCCCAGTCCGAAGGTCGTTATCAGCAGTCAGAAAGATCGACTGGTAGCCAAGTCGGGCAGTAGCAGAGCAGGATCGGTACCTGTTGCGAGAGAGGGCAGTGTGAAGATGGACGAAGACGACTCGGGTAAGGGTAAGATGGTTCTTCCTCCTTCCAAAACCAAGCCCACAATCAAGTACAAGACCAAGCGTTGAGCTGTACTTTGCTATCGGCGTTCACCTTAGACGGCAGACGATACCCACTGGCATTTTTCCTTTCGGCTTGTTCGAGGTTTGTAGTCGGATAGGCAAGCTCATAATCTCACCTCATCTGATCTCATACTTCTTTTCATGTGCTCATGCCACCATGTACCATCTCTTCTATCACAGCGCCATTTTTACACATCGTCCCATGTCTCTTCAGACACCACGTCAGCTGACGACATTACTACAGAAATCCGACCACGTCTTTCGCCACAGACCGAGGTCCTCTACCGAAATAACGCGAAGAATCGCTCTTCGGCGTCCTCCATGTCGTTCGAGGGCGAGGGCATCTTATGCCGCGTGACATCCGTTATCGGCGAAGGAAAGCAACGTCGGTACGAAATCATTGATGCTGATCCGGACCCACCGACACCATCAGTTCCATACCGTGCTTCCGTCAATCACCTCATACCCATCCCACCACCCTCATCAAACACCACATTACCAGACCTAAGCAAAGGAAAGAACGTACTTGCTCTCTACCCAGGCACCACTACTTTCTACAAAGCGGAAGTGGTGGCTGTCTGGAAGCAAAGTGATGGCAAGGTCAAGAAAGAAGACGGTGGCAAAGAAGGAGATGGTGTGGACAATCTCGTTAGGTTGAGGTTTGAAGGTGAAGATGAGGCAGATCGTGAGATGAGTGTAGAAAGGAGGTATGTGCTGCCTGATAGATGAGCGGGTAGCACTTCAGCTCCCCAGGGAGAGATGGACTTTGGGCCATAGTAGGCTCGCATCGAGTCTCATTGTGGAGTGTTGGATACCATTGGGGGAGGTCGTTCTTTGGCATGGGTTGGCTGCGGATACCTCTTGTGGTGTATTTTTGCTTCTTACCCTCGCATACTCTAGTCACGCTTTCTTTACTTAGTACTATCGATACCTTATCACTAAAAAGTCATACTCATCTGCAATGGTTCGCTGTCTACCTAGGTAGTCAACCTTGGAAGCCATAGAGTGTGGCCAAGCCGCTAGCACCAAAGCAAGCAAGCGCCATCTGGACACGTCCCAGAGCGCATCGCCAACAAGCCTCAAGACTCCGCAACGCGAACCAACCTGACCCCGCACAAGACGCAGAAAAGCATTCTATACCCCGATCTAGTGTCGCGTCACTGAGAAGATCTTGGTAGGCGCCTACGATCCCACCATCAGACTTCCAATCCAATCACAAGCCCGACTACCGAAGCCATCAAGCCCGCGCCGCACGCCAACTCCACCAATATCCGCAGCTACCTAATCTCCACCACCCACCCACACTATTGTCGCCATGAACAACTTCTCTTTCCTCGAGTCCTCCCAACAACAACAAGCCCAGCAACAGCACAATCAAAATCGCCCTCCGCCCTCTCCCTCACATTCACAAGCCGGCAGCATTGCAGGATCGCAAGTTAACGGCGGCGGCCAAAACGGCGTTCCAATGGTTAATGGCCTACCCAGCGGCGGCCAGCAGACGGACATGAACCATCTGTGGGCGGTGGTGCAGCAGCTGAGTCAATTGCTAGAGGAGAACAAGGCGCAAACGAGGGGCATAGTTGAGGGTGTCGCTGCGATACAAGGGAGGGCTGCACAAGAAGAGGGAGGCGAGGTCGGTGGGCTCAATCCGAGAAGTGCGAGTGGTATGGGCATGAGGGAGGTTAATGGAGAGATCAATGGTATGTTAAGTCTGCATTGAGAGGGTCTGGACGGCGACAACCGTCTGGACTCGGATGAACACATACTAACACACATTACAGCAGCGACAGTAGCACATCTACAATCACAGCTCTCGAGCGCGCAAACAACCATCGCATCCCTAACCTCAACCAATACATCGCTCTCCGCCCTCCTCACCGACTACGAATCCGCTTTGACCCTTCTCCTCGATAAACTTCGTCCGTACGCTTATTCGCAAACCTCGGCCATGCTCGCTCTGCACAAACACTACCAAGGGCTTCTTGACCAAGAACGCTCGACATCTATGGCGCTGCGGCTTGAACACGCAGACTGGCAGGCTGGGCTGAGTCGCGTCGCGGAGAACGCAAGGAGCGCATTAAGATGCCAGAGCGAAGTCGAACAAGGATTGAGGGGCAGATGTAAAGAGTTGGGTGAGGAGAATCGCGTGTTGAGACGGATGGTGGGGTGGGAAGAGAGGGAAAGCAGCGATGATGAGGCCGAGGACAAGGCATAGTTGGGCTCCTGTGAGATGTCATAGGAGGTCCATCTTTCACGCATTTTTGTTATGCATAGCGTTGGCGTTTGGGGATATCACAAGTCGGTCACGCTTTAGGAGGCGCATACCCACGGCTGGCGTATTCTTTCACCAATGGACGACACTGGAAGACAAAAACGTCAAAACATACTCAATTCCAAGCTTCCACGTCACTTTGAAGCAAACAAAACCCTGGATACATTTCCACACGAAAGTTGTAACATTCGCCGGATCTTTCATTCGAAGCCGCTCCCCATATCGTGCACAGGAAGTTTAACTATACAGGACGCAGCACCCGTCCCCTGGAGCCACCAACATCTCCACCATTCTCTCCATAACGATAGAAAATCGCAATCCACCCCACGACATGATACGCATCCGCATCCCTCACAACTCCCAAAAAATCTCCTTCAAAACCATGCACGTCATAAGTACCATCGTCTTGATACACAACCGAGGCTACGTTGTGCATCTCGCAAAGGATGGTGTGGCCCTCTGATCGAAGCCAGGAGCGCGTGTCGGCCACGTCTTGTTGCGAGACTGTGGGATGGGCGGGAGGTAGGTCGGCTAGTGAGGCGGGTGAGGGGAGGGGAAAGAGGGAGTCTGTTGATGGAGATGGTGAAGGTGGAGATGGTGAAGATGGGGATGGAGATTGGGAGCGCGAATGACGGCGCTGTACTTCTCCATAGGGTAATATTTCAGCGCTCCTGAAATCGTGTAATTCGTGCAAGGCTCCTACGACAATCTCTGCGTTTAGTTCTTCCCGGAAACGTTGATGGATAGCATCGTTGCGTGCTATGATGGCTTGCTCGATTGTACCGCTGTTCATTGGACTTGGTTCAGGATCGGAAAGTTCGAAGCTTTCGGGATGGGGAAGTTCAGAGGGGTCTTGACTGGTTGCGTCCTCGAGGATTTCGCCTTCCTCTAAACCCTCCTCGTCCTCTTGGGAATGGCCAGATGCCCATCGCTCGTGAGTTTCTGAATCTTCGTCAGGCTGACGGTCGTCGTCGTGTTGCTCTTGCTGGTGATCCTCATTGTCCTCTGCATTCTCCGCCGCCCTCGCTTCGAATTCTTGCATATTCTGCGGGACCCAGACCTCGCCAATGAAGTTGGAACCCCTAATCATCCAGTTCACACAGTTCACTAGCCCACTGCGTCTCGTCTCAAGCTCTTGGCTTTTCCTAGAGCCAGCAAGACCGTCCTCGCTGAGCCTGTTCCGGATATGATTCGCTACGATAAGCTCAAGCCAGTTGTCCCCGATCTCTTCATGCCAGTCGCATATGAACTCGTGCGCTTGGGGATGATGTTCACGATGCCAATGCCTCCTCACTTCGCATACAATGTACACAAAATCCAGGTCATCATTCCGGATTTCTGCATCGTACCATGAGTCAGCGTAAGCCATAAGCCAGTAGAAAGCCTCGCGGTTGTATACACCCTCGTTGTGCTCTTCTTCGTTATCGCGTATTTGTTCGGGTGCCAGAGCATTAAGGAGACAGAAGACCGTCCGGCACATGGGACAGGCGTTGCGGTTCTCACTGGCTGATTTCATCCAGTGGAGACAACATTTATTGTGGAAGATGTGGCCGCATGGAAGGCGCACTGCAACGCCATTGTCCCAGTTGAAGTCTTCCCAGCATATACTGCAGGAGTCGGGAAGCTGCTCGGAGTACTGAACGGATCCGTCCATGGTAGCTATGAATTGCCCCATTCCGGGCAAGTCTGGCATGACACCATCTTGCTGGTCAGGAACTGGAGCGGTAGTTTGCATCGACATGGTTGAGTTGAGTTAGGGGTGTTGCTTGCTTGACAGTTGGGAGCAAACGAGTGGCAGCTTATATACAGACTCCTTGGGGTTCATCGGGTCTTTCCCACAGGGAAAGCGATGCTCAGTACAGCTTGCGGGTAGGGTATTTCACTTCGCGCATCGCCACGACTATATACCCCACATATACTGCTACCTATAGCCATTCACTATGAAGGCAATCACATGGCCATACATGAAAAACCAGAAGCGGAATTACCCACCGCTGCAATCCACACTAAGAGCACACTCGCACCACACACTCAACCAGCTCACACACCCTCCGCTGACATGGCGTCCAACAACCTCCCCAGCCTCGAGCACTTCCTCGGCGAGCGAATTCATCAACAAGCCCAAGACTTCGGGACCATCCGCGACTCGAACTGCGCGATATGTCTGGAGCTCCTGCAGGTAGACTCCCAAGAACCGAGTACCCGCCTCGCTCAACTCCCCTGTCAACATACACTGCACCTCCACTGTCTACGAAACATGACAGAAGGTTACACCGAGAACCGCAACAAGTGCCCGAGCTGTCGACAAGAGCTCTTCGAGCTAAACTTGCTACCACCAGCAAGAGAAGCGCTGGCGCGGAAAGAAAAGGAAACGTATTACGACCGTGATGCGTCTTTTGACACCAAGCGCTATACCGAGCTATTGACGATCACCGACAACCTTTTCGACGAGCAACGCAGACTCCATGGAACTGGTGCGGAATGCTATGTCGGGATTCCAAAACGTGTATGCGCATCGCGGATCCAGGCAGGGCTTCAATGGGTTATGATATGTGAGATGCATGCTGCGGCTGAATCCGCATGGTTGGAGCTTGAGGTTGCTCGGCGTGTGGAGGACCAACTTAGACATGCTAATATGTTGGAGAGTTGGTCCGGCCGTATCTTCATGGGTGCGTTGGAGGTCATGCAGGATATGTTCGATGAACAGTTCCAGTGTTCGGATGATGAACGCGAGCCTGAGGACCGTGTTTCGGTAATGGACGAGGATGAGGAGGAGGAGGAGGACGATGAAGGAAGTGAAGAGGAACGTGAACGACCGAACCCGCAGCCCTTAAGAGGATCTATGAACGAGATTTTCGGCGGAGCTCTTGCAGCGCCGTGGACTCCTACATCTCGAGATTATCGTCCGACCGAACAGTCTCCAAGCCCTCCGAGGGTTACACCACGGCGGTGGTCAACCCAGAGTCTCCCACTACCAAGCCCGGACACGACATTGATGGTTGAAGACTGGCGCAGAGAGACGCAGTCAGCACCGTCAGCTGCAAGTTCACCTACGTTTTCACATACATCATCAGACGACGTATTTGCAGCCCACGTATTGAATAACGTCGGCCAACAAAACCAAAGCGCTCAGCAGCGGTTCCTCCAAACCCGCGAGAGACTTCGGCGAGATCGAGTCATTGTCCTTGAGCTACGTAATATGGCCTCGGCGGAAATATATGGTGACCGGGCGCGACGGATCAAAATGCTTTCTGGAGTTGAGATTGGGGTTGTGAGGGATGTTGACGGATATGACGTCGTGGGTAGTATGGCCATATTTTGGCGTTGGCAAGCACAGGGTTGATGTGATTCGAGTGCGTTTGGACGTCAGACTGCCGGGTGATAGGTTGGTTTGCAGGCTACAAACGCTGTTGGTGTGTTCGAGTGGAGGGATATCGATTGGTTTGTTGGCTACGATCGTTTGAGGTTCGTGGCGCCTGACCTTCGCGCTACCTCGTCGGGACGACATGGTGTTTTGATAGAGGTGATGGCGTCATGACGAACGGCGTTCACGCCGACGTCGCATGTTGGACTTCACGCTGATGAAGAGTTCGTCTCATGTACTCGCCCTTTAGCGCCATCTCAGATGTATAAGTACCTCTCCAATTCCCCCAACTTCTTCTTTCCTCATCACTCAGACATGGTCTGACCAAAAATGACTACCCTCACATGGGATGTCTGTCCAAAAACACGATTCCTACCCTGTCATGGGTTTTGCTGGAGTTGAGAAGAAGATTGCGATGTCGATCGATATGACTTGAGATGGTCTGTTGACATGGCGCACTAAATTTTGATTTGAGCTGTAACTCTGAACATGACTTTCAGAACAGTTTTTGGTACCTAAGCATAAAAGACGACATGAATAAAAATAGGAGTTTTTTGAATAAGCAATGATTAGAATAACGGACGAATAATCGCAGCTCGCAACTCGCATGCCCAGACGTCCGCTCGCTAACCCCCGTCCTTACCCCAGACTTCTACCTCGGCACAACTAGCAATCCCCCGCTTATCGCACCTCAGCACTTTCACTTCCGTCCCCCGTCTGAGCCCACTTCTAACGCAATCGAGCTACCCGACGTGCTGTCTTAGACTAGTTGCCCCGTTTATGCAGCGGCGTCAGCAGAGATGCCTCGGGGCAGAGTAGAACCGGTGGATGGGTGCGCTGGGTTACACCATGCATGTATCGCGACTTCCCACCTCGAAAAGTGTCGCTGTTATATTTCAGACATTTGGATCACTAAGCAGAGGGAGGAATCGGTAGAACGTAAGTTACTATTCCTGTGTGTACGTGTACTTGATTGAGTGGTTGCTGATAGATGCCGAGTAGGATTTCGCTGACGTCTATATCGCCGGGCGTCTGACTCTGCAAGCCATCAACAAGGGCTACGGCACGGAGCACATCGTGGATACCAATAGTGGGCCAAGAACCAAGAGTGATAAGAGTGGACCCCGTCATTACAAGTTGATTCTCCTCCTCGACATCTTTGCGACGTTTCCTCAGCTAGCACATTGAACCGCCACCATGGTGATCAAATCCCAGTACTCGGTCCCTATACCCCAGGTCTCACTACCAACGTATATCTTCGACTCGCCTACTGTGGAACTACCGAAAGAACCGTTTTATCTTTCTGCAAGCGAACCTGAAAAGTACAACATCTCCTTACACGATCTTCGTCTCTATGCGAAACGTTTCGCTTCCGGTCTGCGGCGCGCAGGCCTACAGCCCGGAGACCGCGTGTTGCTCTACTCAGGAAACACGCTTTTCTTCCCAGCAGTAGTGATGGGTATCGTCATGGCAGAGGGTGTCTTTACTGGCGCAAATCCTACCTACATTGCCCGAGAGCTAGCGTACCAATTGAAAGACAGCGGAGCGCGCTTCATGGTATGCGCAGAGGGCAGTTTGGACACAGGAATCGCAGCTGCGAAAGAGATTGGCATGGGTCCTGAGCGCATCTTTGTCTTCGACGATGGTGTTGCGACGTTCGAGGGTCGTAAAGTGGAGAAGAAGACGGAACTCGGAAATGTGCGCCACTGGACTGAACTCCTCGATACGCCAGAATGCGGCGACGCATATTCATGGCCCGACTTGAAGACCCCAGAAGAGCTCGATCGCATAGTTGCTCTCAACTATTCCTCGGGTACAACTGGTGTCGCAAAGGGTGTCATGATAACGCACAGGAACTATGTCGCAAACTGCAGCCAACAGATCCACATCCAGACCACCAGCCCCGACTACCATGAGAAGCTAAAGACGAAGAAGTATCTCTGCTTCCTACCCATGTACCACGCTATGGCGCAAGCTATCTTCTGTTTCGGCGCAGTAAAACAACGCGTCCCGGTTTACATGATGCCCAAGTTCGACTTTGTCGAGATGCTACAGAACGTATCAAAGTACCGCATTACGGACATGGTTCTGGTACCTCCGGTCATCGTGGCCATGGCAAAGCACCCTGCGACGAAGAAATTCGATTTGAGCTCTGTAACGGGCGTCTCTTCCGGTGCTGCCCCACTCGGTCGGGAAGTCATTGAGGAATTCGAGCGACTGTGGCCGAACGGCCAAGTCAACGTCAAGCAAGGCTACGGCATGACGGAAGTCACCTGCGCAGCAACGACGTTCCCACCTTCAGCCTACTCGTCCAGCTTCTCTGTCGGCGAAGTCCTAGCAAACTGCGAAGCCAAGATCGTAACAGATGATGATGGCAAGGTCGAAGCGCCGCAAGGCGAGAGAGGCGAGATCTGGGTTCGCGGACCCAACATCATGAAGGGGTACTGGAACAAGCCCGACGCGACCAAGGAGACTCTCACAGAAGATGGATGGTTGAAGACGGGAGATGTGGCATATGTGGATGAACAGAACCACTTCTTCATAGTTGATAGGAAGAAGGAATTGATTAAGGTCAAGGGTTTACAGGTTGCACCGGCGGAGTTGGAGGCGCTGCTGCTGGACCACCCAGATGTGCAGGACGCTGCTGTTATTGGCGTCAAAGCGTAAGTTTGCCCGCATTCTCTACTATCTGTATCACCTGCTAACCTTTGTCAGTAATGGCGATGAATTGCCTCGAGCGTACATTATGCCTCAGTCGCCCGACAAGGCGACGCCTGAGACGGCTGAGAATATCAAGAAGTGGCTGGCTGAGCGTGTGTCTAGACATAAGCGCTTGGAAGGTGGTGTGCATTTCATTGACGCGATTCCGAAGAATCCTTCTGGCAAGATTCTGAGGAAGGAGTTGAGGGAGAAGGCTGCGCTGGAAGATACCAAGGCGAGGTTGTAGATTTGATAGAGGCGTTTATAGAGAGGTAGATCTTTTAGTAAGACAGCGATTAAGCGTTCCGAGTAAGTCATCGTCTGATCGGGTACGGGATCTAAATCAAAGTCGAGGTTCCTCGCTTCAACGCCTTTCGTCCAGAATGTCAATTGGCCCCGAAACATGGATTTGATGTCTTCGTGATTCTTGCTGCTTTGATATATACATGCAGCATGCTCCGCCTGTGACCGTCCTGGATCATACCCGCATTCTGACTCTAGTTGCTTCGCTGTCCGTTCTTGGCCGCCCTCAGCTCGTCCATCTTCTTGACCCGCTCCTTGAACTCGTCGTACTGGCACTTTTCATATGAATGCCTCTCGTTCTAGAATTCCTGTCAGCCGCCCGCTCTGGCCCTTCTTCATCCATGCTCGCGTACCTCGCACTTCCATGGTAGGTAGTACTCCTCGTACCGACACCGGTTCAAGGGGATAAGAAGATGTGCGCATGAGTCTCGGTAGGGGAGCGGTAGTTTGGCGGCGCTCATTTCCTCGCGGGTAGCCTCTGCGGTCCCGTCAGTTTCTATTACTTGAATGCGTAGGATGCGTGGGCCGGCGTACTCCTCGGCTCGCCGTCAAGGCCGACGGCATGCTTGATGGTTTCTGTGACAGTCATACTGGCGGCCCGGGGTGTTGTTTATCGTCAATGGCGCGCGGGGGGCTGGTGGGCGGAGGGTCGTCGGCGGGCGAGCTTGGTGAGGTTCACTCGGTGTCGGCAAAGGCAGCTGATGACCCCGACGCTTGGCAGGGCAGTCGCGAACGCGGACTCCAACGCGCCTTCCCCCAGGTCTGACGCGAACCGCAGACACGCCTTCACGAAATCACTTGACACGCCCCGAGACACCTTCTACAGCTAATCGAATGGTGAAGATGCCCCCCGCGCCCGATGGCAAGATTTACTCGGCAACATACAGTAATGTGCGCACTCCCCGCTGCTTGCGACACCTCACCTTTGCGACGATGCACTGACAAAGCCCGCCTGCAGGTCCCCGTCTACGAGTGCAATGTCAACGGCAACCATGTCATGCGCCGCCGCGCCGACGACTGGATCAACGCGACCCACATCCTCAAGGTAGCCGACTACGACAAGCCTGCGCGAACCCGCATCCTCGAGCGCGAAGTCCAGAAGGGCGTGCATGAAAAGGTCCAGGGTGGTTATGGCAAATACCAGGGCACATGGATACCGCTGGAGGAGGGACGCCATCTGGCAGAGCGCAACGGCGTCCTTGACAAGATGCGCGCCATCTTCGACTATGTCCCTGGCGACCGCAGCCCTCCTCCTGCGCCCAAGCATGCGACTGCTGCGTCGAATCGCATGAAGCCGCCCAAGCAAACTGCGGCTGCGGCTGCTCGGAATGGTAAAAACGTCTATTCGCTTGAGTCTATGCAGTGTAGGAGGTCACTCTCATTGGTCGTTGTCAGGCATGGATACGGGAGATTGGGCTGACTGATATCGCAGCATTCGTAACCACCAGCGCGCAGTCGCAAGTTAGCGAAGAGCCGTACGAGGCCTCTCAGATCAGGTCGCAGATCTTCCGCGAGGAGACACCGGACAACGAGACTGTCATTTCAGAGTCGATGCTGGGCGACGCAGACATGCTGGATTCATACTCGACGGGCGGCAACAGGAAGCGCAAGAGGGGGATGGATCAAATGTCCCTGCTCGACCAGCAACACCAAATATGGGCAGATCAGCTGCTGGACTACTTCATGCTGTTAGACCACGAATCTGCCGTCTCATGGCCTGAACCACCGCAGAGCATAAATCTGGACCGCCCGATCGACGAGAAGGGACATGCGGCCATGCATTGGGCGGCGGCAATGGGCGACGTAGGGGTTGTGAAGGAGTTGATACATCGGGGAGCGCGTATTGATTGTCTGTCAAACAACCTAGAGACACCCCTCATGCGCGCCGTCATGTTCACCAACAACTTTGACAAGGAGACTATGCCCAGCATGGTCAAGATTTTTCAGCAGACAGTTCACCGGACAGATTGGTTTGGAAGCACTGTGTTCCACCACATCGCAGCGACAACGAGCAGCTCAAACAAGTACGTTTGCGCGAGGTGGTATCTCGACTGCATCATCAACAAGCTGTCGGAAACATGGATACCAGACGAGGTCACACGGTTACTGAACGCAGTAGACCAGAATGGCGACACGGCGATCATGATTGCTGCGCGGAACGGGGCGAGGAAATGCGTGCGAAGTTTGCTAGGACGTAATGTCTCCGTAGACATAATGAACAAAAAGGGCGAAACGGCAGACGACCTGATCAGGGAGCTCAACAGTCGACGACGAACGCATGGACGCCCACGGCAAGCTTCATCGTCACCTTTCGCGCCACCACCAGAACACCGACTCAACGGACACGTCCCACATCTAGATGGCGGACCGCTAATCCCGGTGCCATTCCCCAGCATGGCTGTCCGAGAACCTATTCAGTACCGCTCACAGACCGCTTCGAATCTCATGAACAAAGTCGCGCCAACGCTGCTGGAAAAGTGCAAAGAGCTAGCCGAGGCATACGAATCCGAACTGCAAGAGAAGGAGGCGGAATCATTCGACGCAGAACGTGTAGTCAAGCGACGCCAAGCCGAACTGGAAGCCGTACGAAAACAAGTCGCCGAGCTCCAGCTCATGTCGAATGGCATACACATCGACCTCAACGACGACGAAGCAGATCGGCAGCAAGAAGAAGAACTGCGGTTACTTGTGGAAGAAGCCGAGTCCCTACTTGAAATTGAACAAAAAGCCGAGCTCCGTCGACTATGCAGTAGCATGCCACAGCAAAACGCCGACACATCGCCTGTGGACGTTACAGAGAAGATGCGACTAGCCCTCCTCCTACACCGCGCGCAACTCGAGCGGCGGGAACTTGTCCGAGAAGTCGTGAGTAATCTCAGTGTGGCAGGCATGAGTGAGAAGCAAGGCACGTATAAGAAGCTCATCGCGAAAGCGCTGGGCGAGCGCGAGGAAGACGTCGAGTCCATGTTACCGGAGATTCTGCAGGAGTTGGAGGAGGCGGAGACACAGGAACGGGCTGAGGGGTTGGATGGGAGTCCGTTGTAGGGCTTTTTGGGGTGAAGTTTTGGACTGGGTTGGTTTGGTGGATTAACGAGTATTTATGATCAAGATAGCGAGACATCTATCTCTTAATGTATACATGTATTCAAGTCTGGTCTACTGTTTGGCGATATGTCTTTCTCGTAAGCTACTCGCCTCCATCAACATTGCCAAGAGGATGTCGTGCGCCAAGTTGGATCAACTTTCACGTGTCGCAAGCATGCCATGTGGGTACGCACCTGTCGGGGTGCATACGGCGGGAGTATTAAGACGTTTCCAAGTTTTATAACGCAACTTGTACAAGGAAGGAACTAAACAGATGCGCTGAAGTTTACAATGGTACAACAAACAGGTCTGTAGTTATCCGAAGACGATATAGACAAAGGCGGGCTGGACTGTAAGAGCATCACTCATGTCTTATCTCTACAAGTCTTGTGCGCCTTCTATTCTTTTAGTTTTCAAGGCGCAACCACCACGTCTCTCCCCTCGACCAACGACGGCGCCCAGTTTCCAACCCAAAGTACCTAGGTTACCGCGTGTATCTCGAAAACATCCGGCCGCGCTCATGGTTCGTGAGTGTGCCGCTAATGCGAGACACATGCTGGCACATGGGTGCCCAGGTGGTGTGCGTGGGGTTATTATCTCTCACATGACCCTAGATGCAAGGCGGCTCGCTCTCACGCATGAGGCTAAGCTATGACGTGCTCAGGCGGAACTGCGGTCGACACCCAACCTTGGTGACGGACGTGATGGAGCTGCAGAGGGTGTTTTTGGAGGATGGAGATGAAAGGGGGAGCGTCTAAGTTTGTGGGCATGCTGGGACGCGTGGGCACGGAGGTAGCTGGCGCGCGATTGGACACTGGGCTCTTGGAGCGGAGTTCTCGCGGAGGTTACGGCACCTGGGGATGCAGGGGCCGCATCGCATTGTGAACACCTGGATATCGCCAGCTGCTTACCACGATCCAAGACAGCATAGTGTCCTGCCGCCCAAGACTATCACACGCGTGCAGCGGTCCCACTCACCTACCATCCGGTACTGTCATTCGCTTGCGCCTCCACTCGCCTTATGCCTGCTGAGTCCATTCCGCTGAGGAAGAAGCCTCCGCCGCATCCTCGCAAGACCCTCGTCCACACCCTCTCCGAGGACTTCACCCTCGAGCCCCCAAATAGAAGTACCTCGCCCGTCGTCGCTTCCGGGTCGAGTTCGCGCCAACTCTCTCGCACACGCTCTTCGTCGCGCCAACATCGCAAAGCCAACGGCAAGTCAGCGCTCCGAGAACCAGATAGCCCTGGCAATTCAGAACTCGAGTTCGACGACTGGGATGAACACGACGCGGCCATGCCGTCAGATCTGAGACCCTCATTGGACCACGCCGAGTATGGGCGCGCGAATGCGCCCCTGCTCGGGCGCAAGACGGAGGACGACAACATGGACGACGGGTTGTTGGGAAGGAGCACACATCACTTCCACGAGCGGGACCCCGAGATGCAGGCCAAGCACGAGACGCGGAAGAAGTACACGTACGCCGCCTTTCTGCTTGCGCTGAGTCTGGTGAGCTTCACAGTCCAGACCGAGACGGCGGTATACATCCAGCATCAGTTGAAATGGGAGAAGCCGTACTGCATGCTGTACATGACGCACGGCTCGTGGATAGTACTCTGGCCCGCAACCCTCTTCCTGCTGCGACTCCAGCACTGGAACGAGCCGTGGCCGACCTTCTGGCGGCGCCACGTCCAGCTGCTGCGCCAAACCGCCCTCATGGTCCAGCACCAGAACCTACACCCCACGCCGCGCCAATCCCAAGTCTCGCCCGTCCGCTACATGCTCAAGATGACATCCTTCATCACATGCGCTCTCACGCTCGCCGGAGGAAGTTGGTACGTAGCCGTCAACCAGACGACAGCCAGCGACTTGACCGCCATCTACAACTGCTCCGCCTTCTTCGCCTACGCCTTCAGCATCCCCATCCTCCACGAGAAAGTACGCGCGAGCAAGGTTGTTGCCGTCGCCATCGCCATTGTGGGCGTCTTCGTCGTCGCATACGGCGACCAGTCCCCCGCGAAACACGGCTCTAAATCCGGGGGCGGGGCCGGCGGCGACAAGGCGCCCCCGTCGCACGAAGCTGAGAACCGCGCTTTTGGCAACCTCGTCATTGGCATTGGCAGTGTGTTGTATGGCCTGTACGAAGTGCTGTACAAGAGGCTGGCGTGCCCACCAGAAGGCGCAGCACCGAACAAAGGTGTTATTTTCGCGAACTTGTTTGGTAGTTTGATTGGCGCATTTACGCTGAGCGTGCTATGGATTCCACTGCCGTTTTTGCATTACATGGGGTGGGAATTGTTTGAGCTGCCGCATGGAGAGCAGGCGTGGATGATGGCAATCAGTGTTTTGGCCAATGCTAGTATGTTCATCCCTTCGCTCCTTCCCCAAAACACCGTCATACTAACGTTCTACGCAGCCTTCTCAGGAGCCTTCCTCGCACTCATCTCCCTCACCTCGCCCGTCCTCTCCTCCGTCGCCGCCCTCCTCACCATCTTCATCGTTGCGCTCGTCGACCAGCTTTTCCCCCCGCCGCTCAATTCGCCGCTTACACCCGCGGCTATTGTTGGAGGACTGCTCATCATCGGCGCGTTTAGTCTGCTGTCTTGGGCAAGTTACAAGGAGATGGATGAGGAGAGGAGACACAAGCTTGAAGAGGCGCCTAGTGAATTGGATGATTAGATGGGCGCGTCCAACCAACGACGATCCCGATTTCAAGCCTGTTTTCCAAGCCAAACGTACTACTGGAATTCCTCAATCTTTCTTGAAGGAAGTTGAAAAGCCAGTCGACGAAGAGGCTGCAAAGGGCATCATGTTGAACGCCGACGGAGAGTATGTTCAGGTCATGGCATGCTGGTGTTTTGTCGGCTTCGGCTGGGTAGAACTTCTTTTGTTCTTCTTTCTGGGAGAGTGCTTCGCACTTGCATATTTTGGGTGGTTCATCTGGGATGATACATTTCGGACTTCGTTACGCGCCGCAGATGAGGCATCAATATTGGGTTAGAATCTTTGGCATTGCCTGTCGTACTTTGGTTTGGCCATATTAGTATAGCATGCATAGATGGGCGTTTAGTTAGGCGTTGCAGAGGGTAGACTATGTCGTCACCCCGGATGTTAGAATGGAATTTTGGTTCAGTTTACTACGTTTGTTCTGTGGTGTTCACTTGTTTGTCCGAAGGAAACGGCATGACGGGTGCACTGTTTGGGTCGGAAGGGAATGATATCAGTATTATTACGAGTAGAAAGATGAAGAAGTAAAGGTGATGCAATGATAAGGGTGTCGTTGTAATATCGCTATTGGGATGTTGGGTGCGGCATTGGTTGACCCTTGACGTGAACCTAGGTAGTGGAGACTGGATGAGGAGAAAGGGTCTCTTTGGATAAGGACTTACGAGGGCAGAAGATGGTATATCAGTAAGTGTTCAGCCACTTTCTTGTCTTTTGAAAGCATTTTTTTGATATTTCAGCCAGTCCGTTGTGGTGGCCTGCGCTTACACCGTCGATTGCTGTTTCTTGTAAAGACGAGGCATGCGTCGTCCCTGAATTCCAAGGTTACGTGAACTTTTGTGATCACGGACCGCCACTGTCGGACGCATTGAGATGACTCAAAAGACTGCTTTCACATGCAAATGCATAGCATGGTCGACCCTGAGTCTCAACAGTACCAAATACATCAACACTGGAAACGCAGAGCTGCTAACCCTCCGGAGCTCAAAGACGATGCGATAGAGCATACACCTGCATCATGACTTGCTCGCCATTACAGCACGAGAACACCCTGGAGTATGTAAGCAACTCAGTACAAGAGGGCCGGTGGACCTAGTACCTCAATTCCCCAAGATTCTCCTCTTTTGCCAGTTACCCAGACGATTTTTTTGTCAACGACTCTCTCAACATCTTCTCTCCTCCATTTGCGTGCGTTCAGCGACTTGATACCCATCTCCTCGTTCTAGCCATGCCGCTTCTACAGTCAGTACCAGATGCGAAGGATGTCGACGTACCCAGGCCGTTGCGTATCGACAGGTCAAGGTCAAGACGTTCGCCTCCTTCTTCGCCGTTGCCGGCGGCTCAGCAGCAGTCTCGTCGGTTTGGGACGTATATCCCGCTGGGTGTTCCCCTTTCTCCATCACCACTGCCTCGTCCAGTATCAGAAGTTTTTGGCTCGCCGAGAGTAGCTCACAGTCCATCGCCACGAGTCCAGCCAGTGCCAGATCGCTCGCCGCCGCCTTCTTCGATTCCGTCGCCGGTGGCTCAGCAGCAGCACCGCCGGGTAGAAGGCTCTGGCTCGCTGAGAATTTCTCACACTCCATCATCGCGGGCTTCGTCTTCTTCGAGTCAGCAGCAGCATCGTCTTGTCGAAGACCCAGCTTCGCTGAGAGCTCGTCAATATCCGTCACCACAAGCTCAGCGGGTGCCAGTCCGTCAAGATGGTGAAGTACAGAACCGGTTGCTTGTGACCAACTCTGCAGTTACTACGCCTTTGTCATCACCAGCTCCGCAACAACCTCGCCGATTAGAGCTATCTACTCCGATACCCTCTCGCACAAACTCAACACCGTCACCACTTCTACAGGCAGTAGATACTCCTCATCGTGACTCCGACATGAAGACTCCACTGTAAGTCCCCCTATACATCCTCCTCTTTCCCCACTACTGCTTTTCTCTTCCGCCTTGACTCTAACAACATTACTCCCCAGCAACACCCTAAACATCAGACGCAGACTCACAAGTCTCTCATTCAACGACCCAACCACGCCCTCCACACCCCTAGGAAACTCCGTACCAGTACCCACCGTCGACACACCCAAACCCTCCACCTCAGCCTCCACCTCATCCACCTCAACAGCCCAATCCGCCTTTCCACCCGACAGCAAACAGCCCCCATCACCAGCAACACCAACAATAACCCTCACCCTCCCCGCCCCCCTAACAACCACACTCGCCAGCCCCCAAACCAGCACGCCCATCCCCCCCGACACCACCACCCCACCACCCGGACCCGGACCCAAACCGCGGCACCGCACCCCCCTCCAACTAACCCGCTCCCTAACGACCAAGCTAAAAAAACCGCTCGCCGCCCTCTCCCTCCTCACCGCCCGCCGCTCCCCACCGGGTACCACAACCGTAAGCCGCGTAGCAGCCGCCACACAAAACTGGCTGTGCACCGCAACGGCCATGTCGCGGACTGGCGGCGGGTTTGGCATACAGTTTGAGAGTAGTACGAGGAGTGCGTTGGGGGAGGTGTTGGAGGAGAATGGGTATGTGGGACGGAGGGTGGAGAGTCCGGTTGGGGATAGAGTTGGGGAGGATGGTGGGGAGGAGGAGGAGGAGGGGGAGGATGAGGAGACGGTTGTGCAGAGGGCGGTGCTGTTGGAGAGGTTTGCGCTGTTGAATTTGGAGGCGGGGACGAGGAGGAGGAGGGCTGCGACGGTTAGTCGGGTGGAATGATAGGCGTGGGGTGATAGGGTAGAGATGGTGGATGGTGGGGGTGGGATTGTTGGGGGAGTCTTGGATGGTATCTTTGGTTTGGGTTGGAGGTGTCGATTTGTTGATTGTTAGACTACCTAGGTATACCCGACACCAGCAATGGAGTCTTATACCCATTTCTTCTTCTCGGATCTATAGTTTCTTAATGGAGTCTTTTCTTTTCTTTTTCTTTTAAAAACACCCATCTACACCCTTCATGGTCTTTTTAAGTCTTAATCAAAAGGTACCCTCCTCAACCCCCTCGCACCACCTTTCCTCGCCTCCCCCTCCGCGCCAACCGCAGCCGGCACGCGAATACCACAGCAATCACCCCAACCCGCACTCGCATGCACATGTCTCTTCCCCGTCTCATCGTCAAACACCTTGACCTCCCCACCCTCTTCCTCTTCTTCCTCCTTCTCGACACCCGCCTCTTCTTCCGTGCTCATACCCTCAACAGGGGGGACCAAGCTGCCAAAAAGGAAATGTTGCATAACGGGTAGCTTCTCCAGAATCTCCTTGCGGAACATTTTCCGCATTCCAGATTCGATCTTCGCCCAGGACTTTGCAGAGGATATATCGTCGAGCATGGGTGAATGCCAACGCAGACCCTCGACGTTCTTGACGGAGTTGACGAAAGATATTTGGTCGAGGTAGAGATATTCCTTGCTCTCCTCTTCCAGTACCAACGCGTTGTGTATGCTCTTCGGTGTGATGTAGGGGTGATGAAGCAATTGCGCTGCGCCGAACAGGAAGGGCAGGAACTGGTAGTCGTCCAATCCCCACACACCATGTGAACCCGCTGGCTCGAGGTAGTATGACTCCTGGACGCGACGCATGAGGCGGAGGTATGCGGGGAGGACGACGAGGGCGAGCGCAGGGAAGGTAGTGTCGGGGAGTATGCCGATGCGATTCAGACAGAGTAGCCAGAGGAAGAAGTTGAGTTCGTGGCCAGATCCGTAGTCTATTCTTCGCTTGTTGCCGAAGGAGTTGTGGAGGTATGTCGCTATCTCATCCACCTGCGCCTTGTCGCTCAACCCGAGCTTCTCGTGCCAAAGCGGTAACACGGCTTCAACTTCATCGAGGAAGGTGCGGAAGACTGGGTTGCCGAAGCGCGAGCCTGTGTCTTCTGGTGGACATCTATCTAGCACTTTCTCCGCTTCTGCTAGTATCTGCACGACGGTCTTGACTGTGTCTGTGACTTCTTCATCTTTGATGCTCGAGATGCTGCGGTCGCGTACAGAGTCGGCGATGCCGAACACGAATGCTTCGACTAGCGTGCATGTCTTGCTCTTGAGGAATAACTGGTGATCCTCTGGGCTCAATATGCGCCTCGAGGGTCGCGTGTACGTATGTCTCTCTAGATTCGGCGGCGCGGGTAACGAGGGCGTCGGTGGGGGAGGGGCAGACGGCGGTTCTCGCGATGTGGGGGCGCGTTTGCGGGGGATGAGCTTGGGGAGTTTGGCGCTGAGGTCTGGCGGAGGCGACGGGATGGCTGGCGGTTGCGTCTGTGTCATCATGTTGTGTACTTTATGTGTTGGTTGTTTAGGTGTGGATTGTTAGGGTGCTCAGCGTCCGAGGCGCATGGAAAGTGGAGGAACGGGCCGCGGCTCCGTGAACGTCATTCGCGGCTTTCGTCGAATATGTTCGTTACACCAGACTAATCTATCGAAGCTTCTGTTGCATTCAAAGAACGGGAGATCAGACAGGATGAGATGACATCGCTGTATCACTACACACCCTCGCCATTTTCTCTGTTCAGATGAGATGCATATGCAGCCTTGTGAAGACCATGGATCTCACATCTTGAATCCGTCTCTACAGCACACAAGACGTCACTCATTACACAAAGTCTCGCACAAACGTCGTTACATGCGTCTTCGGAAGCAAGGGAACGCCTCCGTCGTACCAGCCTCATCGGCAGGGTGCAGCATGATGTCAGGTCGTTGCAATCGACTCCATTGTGCAAAATATACGATGCACGTCTCGGCTTGATTGAGCATTATACAGGCTGCAGTGAGCATGCTCTCATCATCATCGGGAGCACTTCTAGTTTTAAAGCGAAAGACGATGTCATGTGGGGCTTACATGTCTGAGTTCAAATGAGCTTGAAGTCCTTGCTAGGATTTCTCGGTGCGTTCGATCGCGCCGTCTCTTTCTTTAATCGAAGTGAATCTCTGTCACTTCACAGCAGCCTTTTGATTACATCATCCGTTCCTGATGATGCTACTGTGTCTTTCTGTTTCCTTGGAGAAGTCCGCACGGCTTTTGTGTCTACATGGTGGATCTCTTTCTTATACAAAGGAGGTTCAATCGGTGAGAAGGCATGCGCAAGGGAACGCGGTATCGAAGCAGGGTGGACTGTACTCGTATCAATTCGCGATATCCAAATATATACCTTCTATATACATCGAAATTGTGCCTATCCAAACTCATCCCATCATCCAATCCACGGGTATCAAACGTCTTTTGAAGGTCTCTTCAGTCCTCCGTGTCACCCTCTGCAACCCACACAAGAGTAGATCAATGACAGCCTTACATAACCGTACAGCACCCAAGCTTCTTGAGCAACCTAGACAAGCCCTTCTTGGCCATCTGCTCAATCTCATCGTTCTGACCCTGCTGTTGTCCATGATGCTGCTGGCCACCATGTTGTTGACCACCATGCTGCTGGTGACCTCCATGTTGCTGGCCGCCATGTTGACCACCGTGCTGACCACCATGTTGTCCGCCATGTTGTCCAGGATATCCTCCATAGCTCGGAGCCTGAGGAGGCGGCGGCATCTCATGCACATCACCACCCTGCAGATTCACAAAGATCCTACCCTCGTTCTCCTCAGTGCGATACTGCAATCCCAATTCACGGCACACCTGCTCGACTCGCGGCTTGATCTTCTGGACATGGTTCCTGCTGTGGTTGCCCTTGCCCACAATAACGTGTAGATGGCCTTCTCCTCTCTGTCTCGCAACTCTGATCCTCTCTTCCAGAACATCCTCGGCCTCTTCGACGAACAAGCCGTGGAGATCGATGGTGTCGCCTGCGACTCTGCCCTCGGCGTTGTTCTCCCGGAAGATGTAGTCGCGCGCTTGACGGTTGTATTGGTCCATCTTCGCGGCGTGGGCTTTGCCTTCTTCAGAAAGCTCGTGGGCGCGCGCTCCATCGCCGGATTCGTACGCTTGGTGGGCTTTGTCGAAGCAGGAGGAGCGTTTTGCGGCTTCTTGGCGCGCGAGGTCGCGGAGACGGTCGTACTCGGCTTCTGTATCGGCGGACGCGTGGTTTAGTGCTGGAGATTGGTGTCAGGCAATGCGCATTGTAGGTTGTGAGCGGTAGTGATTGTCCGTCACGGCGTGTCAGGCTTCGAGTACGTACAGCGCGCGCCCAATGAGTGCATTTCCATGGCGGCCATCTTGTCGCGACACCAATTATAACAATATAAATCGCGTGAGAAGCGTGGGTGGTGCTGTGTTATGTTGTTGTCGAGCGACAGCACACATTAAGATGAAGCTCGGAGCCGCTAAGCGGGTACATGCAGATGCGCAGGGTCCAGATTTGACGTGGCTCAGCCGTGAAGATCGGGCAGCCCCATCGTGGAGTATCCAAGATTGAACCATCTGAACGGTAACAATGCGCTGTACTGTATGTAGAGCGGTGTAAATGTGGACTGAATTGAATGGGTATACTATCGTACGATGCTGTTTGTGATGCTGACAGTCGAGCAGAGCTTGCGCCGTGATTCTGCCAACATATTCTAACCCCTGCAATGCGTATACGACTGTTCAAGGCTGATGGCTGCGACATGGATGGGCAGGATCGAGAGTCGCCCTAGAAACGAATCTTCGGCCCAACGAAGACGATCAGGAAGGCGATCACCCATAGCCCAGCGATCATGCCGTACAGCTTGATCCTGTCCCACCAACCCTTGCCTTCAGTCATCCGCCGCAGGGCACCCATTCTCCTGCTAGCAGCATCCATGTTCAACGTGTTCTTGTCTAGCCCTGCAAGTGCGCGATCCACCACGCCTTTGTCCCCTTCGAGCGTGTTTCCAAAGTGTATTGACTGCTCTTTCAACTGTCTTGCCATATCTAGCAAGTCCGTCGTGAGCTCTTCTTGTTCGTTGCGTTCGTGGGAGAGGAGCGCCTCTGTTTTTGCGAGCGAAGGGTCGGCTGTATTTGAGGTAGATTTGGACGGAAACAAAGAATTGCCGGATGCAGATTGAGTCCCTGCTGCGTTCGCCTCCGGCTTGCCTCGTCGGCGCAGCTCTGACGCGATGCCTTGTGCTGCATTCTGAAATGCTTCGTTGCCTTCTGTAGATGTCGACACATCGCGCCCGGCTTCCGTCTTCACTCTCGGTGCATACGAGGGGAACTGATCCGCGTCTTCTTCATCGGAGTCTACCGATCCCTCTGACTCCGTGTCATCTAGCTGATTAAGCTCGTATATCCGTTGGTTGAGTTGCTTTATGAGTTCTCGTTTCTGTTGTAGGTCGTTTTGTAGTTCGGCTTTCTTCGACTTGGAGGGTATCGTAGAGGCAGAGTGTTCGAGGCTGAGGAGTAGGGTGCGGGCATGTTCAATGTTCTATGATACCATCAGTGTATGCAATAGAATGTATAACTGTGTGAAGCTTACCGCGCTCACACGTGCGCGCTCGTAGGTGGACTTTCGCAACTGCGGTGACGGGTCGACCAGTACTAAACGGTCTAATCTGGACAACAAGCGATTTAGGTTGATGCTCGTGGTGTCGCCGAAGCCCGGAGAGCGAGTTCTTGTAGTCATCGTAAGGGTTGTGGTGGTGCGCTTCTAGGTGGATGCGGTTGAAAGCAGGCAAGAGTAATGAAGAGGTGACGTTGGCGGGGTAGGAACTGATACACGTTGTTTCTTAGGTCAAGGCGTGTGTATACAGCTTGTGTTTCTTCGAGGTTCTTGTTTCGTCACGATAGTGTAGACTGGTAGCGCGTAATTGGCGAAAGGTCGGGTTGTTCATGTGAATTTACGTGTTCTCTCCGACGTCACCGACGCGAACACCAATCGTGACATGGTGGGTCACCCCCACACAAGCCTAAGCTTTTGCTAAGACAACATCACAACATCTGGTACAAGTCTCATGAGAACAATTGTTCATAATATGATACATCCTCTTGGTATAGTACAAGTCATGTGGTCGTCTAAAAACTGACCAATTCCATCGCTACGCTGTTTTTGCGCAAATGCGGCAATGCATGCTTCATCAAACTCCAGTCATCGCTATAACATGCTGAATGGATACACTTAAAGAAACAACAGAATGCTAATCAAGCTACTTCTGAGAAGGAGTAATGGGACCACGAGTGAAGCTACAAATTGTTAGCAAGGTGTCATGGTTCATGGGAAAAGAGGCATGACGTACTTGTTCCAGAGAGTTCCAAGGAAACCTGGCTTTCCGTATGCGTCGTGGAATGACTGCCTGCGAGCCATGCTCTCTTCATCTTGACGACGCTTGAGGGCCTCTAGGTTGCCAAATCGCTGAGCTGCGGAAGACTGAGAGATGTTAGCAACTGTTGATATAATAATCCTGAGTATGAACCCATAGAGAATAACATACCCTACGACGGCCATCGTAGTATGAAGAGCCAACTGAAGACTCTGAAGAACGACGGTCGGCCTCCTGCTTGGGTGCTTCGGGCATGGCTGGGGTGGTGTTGTCGCCAAAGACCTTGTGGTTCTGGGAAGAGTACTTCTGCTGGAATGGGGAAGGCATTATGTGGTATAATTGGATTGACTGAAGTTTTTGAGAAGGTTGGAGCTGGTTTAATTTGTTGATTGAGGCTGAGTGTATGTTTGAGTTGTAATACCATCTTCTTAACGGACAGCAGCAGCTTCATATAGCCGTTGTTCAGCTGAATGCCTTCGAAGGTACGATCGCTCGTGGCCTGACCATTACGCAGACGATATGTGATCGTACCAATCAGACGATGGTGGACTTCCCCCGCATTCCAAACGTGCAGCTTGGACCCTGATTTCTGTAACAATGACATGGAAAGAGCAGTTGCTGAACGCCAACCTGCTTACGAGCTCACTGATCAGAGCAAAGGGTCCTTATCCAGCGAATCAGGTCTTGATGATTCATACGCGTCATGTACGGCTCGGGGCTTCATGGGATGAACCCCCGCTATCATGTCCTCCACAACGTGACTTCGATCCAGGCTGACAGTCGTGGTCTCGAAGATAGTCTGGGAGATTCCAGAACCGGTTGGATTGTCGGCGGACCCTTGGGGGGGCTGAGTCACGTGCTAGTACCATTCATAGTATATCGATCGCGCTAGCCTTTGGAAGTAGATCGGTCTTGTCCCGATCACTGCTTGATCCCGGGGTAAACTGGAACCATGACGGCGTGGTGGACGGTGTGTTTGAGAACAAGACCTAAAGCAGCCACGCGCGTTGCCCTGCTTCACATCGAGCTCGACCAGCTCGACCAGACGGCTAACTCCGTTCAGCTGCAGAGCGCTGAAGCTGCCAAACCCTTATCGCCAGGTGGTACCTTGACATCTTGTGCATACTCCGGAGTACCCCATCGACCAGGTCATCGTTGTTTCTTTTTCTGCGAACGCTGTTGATGTCGTCAGAGGACGTTGCTCGAACTACTCACCTTGCTTTGTGTTGCGTTCCACGGACCCTGTAAATCGTCCAGTTCACGGTCAACGGGCAGACGCGATCAAATCTCGCGGGCAGAGTCACGTGTATGACGTCAATGGCTTACTTGATGGCTGACTAAACACGACGCGTTACCCGATTCGATAAGCGAAGCTGGAAGAAAATGTCTTCCGCTCTTGCACTGCAGAACTTCTCCTCACCTACCAAGGTCACTCGCCTCTCCGATGCAGGCATCCACCAATCTTTTCGCGACACCGATGGCGACCGGCGCATCTTGAGTCAAAGAAACCGAGGTAGAAGCGACACGCGTCCTGAGCCGTGTCTTTAGAGTTTGAGGCTCCCCGCCGTTGGGTATCAGACTGGTTCTTACAGGTGAAGATTGGCAGGTACTGATGCAGATCTCTCGGCCACAGAAGAGCCGGGCCGATGAGAGAAAATCTCCCTCGTATCCAAGCTGTCCGAGTTTTGTCGCACAACACTCTCCTTTTCAATGCAGCCGCACACACATACACTCACACATGGCGCAAACTCAGTGCGTGTCATCGACTGCACTGCCTTGCCTCGACGTCCGCCTTGCCGTCGCCGGCCGAGGACCCTGACAACTGACAGGTCCACGAGGACGCCACCATGTACCTAGGTACCAAAGGTATGTTACATTCGCTCGTTCGCCTCCCCCTTTCCTGATGATACCACAATTTTCAAAGCATAGTTCATCTTAGTCTTCGGACAATGAGGAACGAAATCAGCAATGTCTTTCGCTCCTATCTGACACAAAAAACCCACAATTATTCACGTCTACCTTCTGGTCGAACACTTTCTAACAATGAATAGACTTTGCAGTATTCCCGCATCGCAGTGAGCATGCGCCACCAAGTAGGCCACGACCTGAGGCGCCTGCCAGACACCCGTCACCGGGTAAGCGATGTGTCGCCTGGTAACGTCTCAAGGCTAAATGCTGTGCGTGGTTTCTCAAAGCAGCCGCCGACGATGCCTGTGCCACAGCGCACGCTTGATAAGGCAATCTCAGTGGGTTGTATCACTGTGATGTATGCAGGTGCCGCCATGTCTGTCGTGAAGCCATGTCAGATCCGATTCAGAAGTCCGATTCAGAAGCAGCTCCCATCGCCGCATGTGTGCGCGCGCGCATCTCCTTCTCCTATGAATAAATAAGATTTCAAGGGGACAGTCAGTGCGGAACGTTGCGGGTGAGCCGGCTGAAGGGAGGGAGGGACACCGTTGTCCCATACACCACATGTTATCAATCAAACGCTATTGCTATTGCGCGTTCGCCGGGAGGTGCGCAACGCTCAGCCTCTCCATTTGCATTGTTGCCATGATTTGAGAGGATTATCCCCGGGGTAAAGTTTATTCATGTTGATCGCGGGACTACACGAGAATCACAACGATCTTGTGTACCTCCGGTGCAACAGGCCCTGATTTTGCAGGTTTGGCGGCGTTATCGAGCCGCCATCCGGCCTCGCGGTTGGTGGTTGGCAGCGGCGATCGCTTCCCACTATGCAAGCCCGGCAATCCCCCGGCAACAATTCAGTTTAGATTCCCACAATTCGTACCCATGAGCGACATCGATATTTCGCCGACTCGGAACGCTGTCCTTCCAATGTAAGTCGCGAGACGTGCAGGATAACTGGAGAACCGAGCGCCGTCTCTGTGACGTTAGCGTTTGACACAAATTGATAAGAAAGCCGCCTTCCCAGCCCGACCGCCGAAGGATTTTGGCCCATTGGTTTTTGTACCGCCGAAGCACCGCAACAAGATTTTACTCGTGGGATATGCTTGTGGGGCTGTCTCCTATGCGTTGGCACTCGAACTAAGCCACCAACCGGTCAGCACGCACGCCCTCCCACACATTATTGTCCCGCTCGTTTCCTCCCTCTCTTCTCAACTCAACATCACACACCTACCTACACACGACATCAGCAATCGCCTCTGCAAACCAGCACATTCGAGCGATTTTTCTGGCATAATTTGCTAGCAACGACCATCAAAGACGACACTCTCAAACAAGAGCCCTTGCTCAGGATGACAATTCGGAGCCCAGACGGAGCCCTATCCAGGTACTTACTGCCCAACGGTTTCCCCCCAACTCATGTTCTGCTTTACGCGTTTCTTACCTTTGACTACGACATCCTGTGTTGCTAGACTCATGTATTTCTTTCCTACTGTTTGTTTTTGTTTGCCGCCATTACAGCCCGCATGGATGCCCAAAGGATGCCACAGGATACCTTCCACTGGATGTGCCGCCCTGGTACAGGATCTCCACTTGGCCACTTTTCTTCAGTAAACCAATGCCGGATGCTTCCCAGGACAGCCTTGGATTCGAGAGACGTAGCGCACTGCCCTTGCAGTGTTTGTAGACACGACAATCACGAGGCCTCGCTGCCCCGACTTCAAAGCTATCATGCAGAGCTCTTGAATCGGCGGTCAACAGTCACGAGTGGATCCTCGCGCTAGTCACATGCGCTACGACGCACTATCTGGAAGATGACCAACAACAACGGTATGCAACCCTGCACCGCCCCCAGGACAACGTAGGCAACTCTCAGCAATGTCGTTCATTTATGTTATGTTCGACTGCGCTCAGCGACACACGACTGGTAGTATCAATGTACGCAATCCACACCTATGGAGCCCACAAGGATGAAGCCATCATGGACCTGCCTTCAGCACCTCAAGCCACATGGACTTCTCATGGACCCTGCCACGGTTCTCCACTGGACGCTAACGAGGACCACCATGGTCATGGACTGATTTGGAAACATTTGGAGATACGAAGTACGTACAGTAGGCTGAAGCTTCAGCCTATCCACATCGACCTATTGATCCGAGACTAACTTGACTGTTGTTGAAGGAACATAAGATGTTCTGGATGATTTGCTCCGCAATCATCTTTCCTGGCCTCATTGGACATTACTGGATCTAACTGGATTATACACTGGATCGCCAACTTCTCGCCAAAGGACTCGTGGATGTTTCAGCTTACCCACAATGCCGTCCCTCCCTCCCCAGGAACCAGGTCGCTACCTCGCAGACAATCCCAATCTTACTGGCTTCCTAAGGTGCGTGCTAACCACTGACGCCTATGCGCTGCTCTGACTGACTCCTCTATAGGCATCCTCGGATATACT